GGAAGGGAAGGGAAGGGAAGGGAAGGGAAGGGAAGGGAAGGGAACTTTTTTGTAGTGAGGGGGCCCAAAACTGAACACGGTACTCGAGGTGAGGCCTCACCAGTGTTGACTACAGGGGGATGATCACCTCCCTGCTCCTGCTGGCCACACTATTTCTAACACAGGCCAGGATGCTGTTGGCCTTCTTGGCCACCTGGGCACACTGTCGGTTCATGTTCAGCGAGCATCAACCAACACCCCCAGGTCCTTCTCTTTTTCACATTCACCCAGCCACTCATATGCAAGCCTATAACACTGCATGGGGTTGTTGTGCCCAAAGTGCAGGACCCGGCACTTGGCCTTGTTGAACCTCATCCCATTCACCTCAGCCCAGTGATCCAGCCTGTCTAAATCCCTCTGAAGGGCCGCCCTACCCTCAGGCAGATCAACACCACCTCCCAGCTTGGTGTCATCTGCAAACTTACTGAGGGTGCACTCAATCCCCTAATCTAGGTCATCAATAAAGATATTAAACAAGATGAGCCCCAGTACCAACCCCTGGGGGACACCACTTGAAATGGGTTGCCAGCTGGACTTCATTCACCACGACCCACTGAGCACAGCCCTCCAGCCAGTTCCTTACCCAAAGAAGGGTATGACCTGTCCAGGCCACGGGCAGCCAGTTTCCCCAGAAGAAGGCTGCGAGGGACCGTGTCAAAGGCTTTGCTGAAGTCTAGGAAGACTACATCAACAGCCCTTCCTTTATCTACCAGACTGGTCACCCAGTCATGGAAGGAGATGAGGTTGGTCAAGCACAACCTGCCTTTCATGAACCCGTTCTATGCTGTCTGGATGAAGCTCTCCCACCAACGATTACAGTATTAAATCAATAACGAGATTTTGATGAAAATGGCCATTTCCTTCATTTTCAGTACATCAACAGGTTAATGCGATGCTCTCAGGTGCTCTGGTGAGGTTTGAGGTTGAATTCCCACTGCACAGCTGTGCCTGCCGCTGACAGCAATCACTGCTGCCATCCTCAGGGCCAAGAGAAATCACTGCTGGTGCCCTCCTGCACAGAATCCTTTCTTTCTTGACCCTGGCAATGCAGCTGGTTATCGACTCATCTCTAAGCTGCTTTGGAGGGCCAGTTTACTCAAGAAACTGATTAAGGAGTTTCATCTGGAGGGCTGAGAGGATGAAGGCTCAATCAGAAGCAAAATCTGGGATCTGTGCCACATCCCATCTTCCAAACGTGTCCAGAGGCTGCAGCATTCCCCTCCCTCACCTCATGAGGATGCACGGAGGATTTGGGGGCTTTGTTCTCATTCACATCTCACTCAAAGGCCACAGGGTTTCCCCCATGGAGAAGCTGCCACGTCCTACATTCATTTTTCTGGCTTCCAGAAGATCTCTTTTTAGCTATCTGAATTTGCAAGGTAGCATAGCCATCCCAGATCTTAATTTTAAAATCTAAATCTGTTTGGGAATCATGGACTGGTGACTGATATCCAAAATGTTGTCTTTGTTTAACCAGATCTCTGCTGTAACCCAAGGGAAGCACACAGGACAACTCCATCACTCCCTGCCCCAGTAAACACAGCACTGGTTTGGGGCCATCTCACAGGGCAGCTGAAGGAACCACACAAAACACTGACTATGAAAAATGCCTTAGAATTATTTTCAATTGAAATATTTTAGGCCACAGGCAAAAAGCCCCATGGGGAGCAGCCAAAAGTCCCTACTAAAACCTGTGTGAGCTGCCAGGATTGGATCAGTCCCCAGAATCTAGCTATCTGTGTTTTGATTAGCTTTAAGAATAACTGGTTTAATGGGAAGTATGCACACGGGTCATGATTTTGGTTTCATTTGTTTTACAACAGAAGCACAAAGAGAAGCACTTGTGCAAAGGGCCCAGCTCATGGTCTCTCGGTAATGCAGCCCATTTTTCTAATTTGCTGTGATAATCACAAGCTCATAAAAATACATCTGTTGACCCAGACTTACCATTACTGCTGCTTTGACGCCTGCGTTGATGTTCTTCCATTTTATTGTTTTCATTTTCCTCCTACAGACCACAAGATCAGTTGAGCTGATGAAAACTTTTACCTTTCTCCATTAAACTTAAAAATATGGGTCTAATACACAAGTTAAGTCAATATCAGGTTTAAGAGAAGAAAGCAGGAAGGCTGAGGCCACGCTGTCATTTCTCAACATTATTCTTCCTTCTGAAGCTTGCACTATTAACAGTCATTACTTAAGCTTGTGCCTAGTACTGGAAAAGGTCTCTGGTAGTCAATCCAACTGCCTATATCCCAGAGCACCTCAGAGTGCTTTACAGAATAAAAATATTGTATTTTTCTTCCCAACAGGTGGATTAGAGCAGTGATATGGAGAAGCCACTTAGTCTACTTAGTCTACCTGCAGAAACACAAGAGCAGAGAGATGAGCTGAGCAGGATCCTGGGAGATGCAGCATCCCCAGCTGAGACACCATAGCTTTAAATGGGGTAAGACCTAAAGAGAGGGTGTGTGACTGCACGAGGGTCCATCCAACTCTGCTTTCTGCCAGTATTTTGAAAACAGAACATTCAAGCAAAAGGAAACCCATTGCTCTTACATACTTACACAGTAGCTCAATGCT